GGAAAGAGAAAAAAGCAGCAAAGGAGTGAGACTGGGTATTCCAATAACTGGGAGGCCCTGGCACCCAGGCCCTGGCCCTCTGGTTTTCTTCAGACCTGTCATCACTTCCTGACAGGAAAGGACCACGAAAGCAGTCCAGGGAGCAACCTTTCGTTGTGTAAAGCTCAGGGATAAGGCCTCAGGGCCCTAGTCTTCACAGGCCAGGACAGAAGGAAGAGGGGCCTAGGCTGCTCCTGCTGCTGTCCTCAGCTCTCTGCTGACAGGGAGGAGGCCAACTATCTCTCTGCTACACAGAGCGGAGTCCCTCCTGCCAAAGCACCCAGCAGACCTGCCTGGGCTGCAGGACACAGCACCACGGAGCCATAGGCAGAGCCAGGACGCAATTGGGCAGGACGAGAAAGTTCTGCCTGCACTGAACACACGTGTGCAGAGGCTCTGACCGGCCAAAGCAGCACCAGGTAACTCGGACGAAGACTGACATCGCTGCGTTGGAGGTCTGTGTGGAAACCAAGGCCTCTTTGCTGTCTGTGGGACTGCGAGCCCAGAGCACATGCCTGGGGAAGGGCCCAGTGTCCTGCTGGCCCCATCTTCCTGACGGCCAGCTTGGTAAAATGAAGCCAGAGCTTTGGAACGCTCTCGGCCTCCTCCCCAGGAAGGATGTGGCTGGACACTGGAGCAGTTTCCACTGTCCAGTGCTGACTATGGTGAAAAACTGTTAATATCCTAAACGTCTAAGATGAAAGAATTTTCAAATTAAATTCCACGTAATTCCTTTATGTAGTAAAATATAGTTTACATTTAACTATTAAACATTATGTTCTAGGTAAGTATTTATTGACCTGAAATGTCACTGAGTTAACAGAGTTAATTAAAATGTGTTATAAAATGGCATAATCCTGTTTCATTAGAGAAAAATACCAGGCCTGGTCATGGTGGTGCAGGCGGCATGGAGCTATTGCAGGGTTCCAGAGCACATGGACAGCCTGGGGTGGGGTCCTAGAACACGCAGAACACGCTAGGTGCAGCGGGCATGTCTACCATCAGGCTGAGTGGGCGACTAGGGCAGGGGTCGTGCATGGCGACACCGCCTTCAGAACTTCTCTCCCTATTAAAACAAAAAAGTAGGCCTGGCTTAGGTGGCAGGCCCATCTAGGGATGCTGGACAGTGGTGAGGGAGGCCACGTGGTCAACTAGGTTTGGATCCCTGTGTGTACCTAAGACCCAGAGGAAGCCCTTGGCAGGAGGAGAAGAGGGCTGTGGTATGGCAGGGACCTGCCAAGGGAGCTCTTTCTTGCATGCACTCTCTCTCTCTTCTCCTCTCTCATCGTGCATGCACTCTATCTCCCTCCCCCTCCTTCATCATGCGTGCACTCCATCTCGCTCTCTCCCCCTCCCTCATCATGCGTGCACTCCATCTCTCTCTCCCCCTCCCTCATCATGCGTGCACTC